TCATTCATTCATTCAATTCATTCATTCATTTAATTCATTAATTTCATCGTCGCAACCCATAAGGCCAATGTTAAAATTTAAAAACTTTGAGTTACTACAAAGGCACTATAAGAAATTGGTTTCGTCTAAACCATCCAAACATTTGACAAAACAACCTTGGTAAGTTTGGCTAAAATATGTTCAGCCGTTATTGAGTTTATGTGTTAGAAAGATTGCATTGAAGTTGGTCCCAAAGAGCTTCACTTCGCTCCGCTCAATTAAATATAGTTACACGTTACACATATACCACAGATTTTAGAACACAAAGATCAACGGTGGCGTACCATTTATTTATTTATGATATTCTTTAGTTTAATTTAAGCATAGGTGTAGCAAAAAACAATTACGAAATTTACCAAAATATAAAATACCCCCGCCGCAGCAAACCTGCCGACTAAGCGAATTTCCATTTGTCTGAATTAATTTTCAATTAAATCTATTTAAATAACATTACCTTTAACAAGTACCTAGGTTTGCTGCTACATGGAAACTAATAAAGTGTGTTTGGTAAAATATTAATAGCGTAGTATAAAATAAATAAATTTGCCAAGTTTGATCAAAATATTTCCATAAACAAGCAATCTACAACATTTTACAATATTCTCCATAAGAATACCATTGCAATTTTAAATAAAAAAAATTTTTAATTCCTCCGTTACCAATTACAATACAAAAACACTTTTACATAATAAATTATTTGTTTTTAAACTCTTTAAAAAGGTCTAGAGAGAAATTGAGAAATTTTGTGTTTTGAGGGTTGAAAAATGAGAAAACCTAATTTTTACCTCATAAAAACCCCAATGAATCACAAATTAAATGCTTTCCCATCTTAAAGATCATAAATACACTTTTCCTGTAAATTTTCCGAAATTTATGGACCTGCTCATCCCTACCTATAACACATAATTAAATATTCTTCTCTATGATAAAAACATGTTTGACTCAACAATAATGAATTGAAGGCGAGAGGGTTCGTACCATCTATAGCGCAGTAAAAATAAGCTAAAAATTCCACAAACCTAAAAAAATTAACACAACCAAGGAATTTGGTACAGATGGTTGGTGTACCTTCCTTTTGAACATAAAAATCCCCCCGAAAAAAAATTAAAGCTGTGACTACGGCCGCCAAATTGGAAAATGGCGGCATATTTCTGTATTTTTGGTTATAGTGACTTTATTATTAGAGATACAGGAATAAGCTAAATATACAAAATGCAGTTCATCTAAAAATACACATTCTTTGTATTTATCATCTTTCTCTAAACCCAACGGTTTTTGAGTTATTTTGTGGTTAAGTATTCTTAGTTTTTCTATTTATCAAAAATAGGCGAAACCCATGGAAATCGACGGTTACTTTCATACCGGATATTATTTTCATTTAGTTAAATAGTGTGATACTATAAAATCTTAAAATTTAACTTCATTTTATGAGTAAAACAACTCCGCCACAGCTAACCAGCAGACTCAGCAAATTTCCATTTGATTGGATGTTTTATTAAATGTATATAAATAAAATTAGGTTTAACAGGTACCTAGGTTTGCTGCTACAGGGAGGGTAGTATAGTGTTTTTTTAGTAAAATATCAATAACGTCGTATAAGAAAAACTAATTTTCCAAGTTTGATCATAAAAAATCTATAAACAAGCAAACTACAACAGTTAACTTATTAATAAGAATAGCATGGGAGTCTTAAATTTACAATTTACAAATTTAAATATGCAAATGTTGTTTATGTTTACTAAAAAGATGGCGATTATTTGTCACGATTCGAATACTAACCGAATGGGTTTTCAAAAGGAGATGGAGCAAGTTATTTAAGTAATATTAATTCGTAACAACCACTTGTTTATATTACGGTATTAGCATATACAGTAGTATTTTTTCGTTTTAGGCTGGAATGAAAGAAAACTTCCTCTGTTTAAGATCCTGGAGTAAAGCCATGTGTTTCTATCAGCATATTTAGATTGTCTTTGCAAACAGTTGTAATTCAGTGGTTTAGCGACAGCTTACTCAAAACCAAACTCATTCAGTTTCGTTTATCAAATCGATTGAATACTGATTTTAGTCTTTACCTGGATGAAACTGAAGTTCTCCCTACACCGAATGTCAAGTTCCTTGGATTGACCTTAGTCGAGAGACATAATTTTTAATGGGTCGCCGGAATTGTACCCCCCTGGAATTGTACCCCCCATTGATTGTCGACGTCATTTTGACGTCACGCCTAGGGGGATACAATTCCACCCCGTACACTTTGATTTTAACATAATCTAATATATTTAATGTGGGCAAGTGATCAGTGAACCGGATGATTGTATTACAAATTAAAAAGAGCAGGAGATGTACGGCCCGGATTTGTACCCTCTGGAATTGTACCCCCCGGAATTGTACCCCCTGCCAACATCAAATTATTTATGGACGGTGTGGAATTGTACCTCCTGGAATTGTACCCCCCATCTGATAACCAAATGTGTACGAGGTGGAATTGTACCCCCTCCCCCTATAAGTAACATCTTCAAACGACTTTCAATAAACTTAAGTGGTATCATCTATCTATCTATATATTAACTAGCTGACCCGGCGAACTTCGTATCGCCGAAGTTATAGGTTTCCCCTAAGACAGACCGATGGAAAGAAAGTAACGTTACGTTTAATTTTCAAGATGATCTCGTTCGCATCGCTCAATCACGTCCTGGTTGAAGTTCGTTCGCTACGCTCACTCACCTTTGGGTTGGAGCTCGTTCGCTACGCTCACTCACCTTTAGGTTGGAGCTCGTTCGCTGCGCTCACTTGCCTTCAGGTTAGCTCGTTCGCTACGCTCACTCGCCTCCAAGTTGAAGTTCGTTCGCTACGCTCACTCACCTTTTGGTTGCAAATTAGCTGTTGTCATAAATGTAAAAGAAATAATAGTGCTGCACCCTGTTGGTAATCCTTGTAACTTTAAAGCTATTGAACATCATAGAACAGAACCAACTTGTTTAATTGAAACAGCTGTTAAGATTCATTAATTCCATTTCTCATAAGGTTAACATGGGAAACTCCAGAGCCACTGGGGCGGAGCCCTTTTAAGAATTTCGAAACGGGAAATAGTTTACGTCCGATTCGCATACCTACAGAATTTACACACCAAATTTCATAACGATCGGTGAAGTCGTTCCGGAGGAGTTTGCAGACAAACACTGTGACACGAGAATTTTATATATTAGAAGAAGATAGACAAGCATGTTTCTTTAAAACCTTTTTTCTCAGCTCGTGTGCATCACAGGGAAAATCTACGCATACCTCTAGAAAGATATTTTCCTGTAGAAGTGCAGAATCCTTTTAAAAATTAAAAAAAGCTCAAATATAAGCACATAAAATTAATTTGAAATTTTGAAAATTTAACATGGGCTTTATGGGTTGCCATGCTGGTAACGAAATAACAACGAAATATAAACAGAAAATCAAAACAAATGGAAGAAATTCAAATCACATGTTTTATTTACAGTGTGGGATGAAAATAGAGAAGCCTGGACCTTTAAATTCCATCACCACCAACAGACTGCGCTGATCTAAATGACTAAATTTCTGTCGAATACACAATGGTGTTTACCAAGTCAAACTGTTTGAATGAGATATAGCAACTGTTATGACCCATCAACTTTGTCAGCAACAAAATATAAGGTAGAAAATAAAATTTAAGACATGCTTTCGGTGAATGGCTCACACAACTACATGTTTTATAATTATAATAAAAAAATAGTGACAGCTGGTCCATATAGTCTACCTCAGTATCCAATACTCCAATACGTGTACGTTACATGTTTTTGGTCGAGTTTTCGACCACTACTAGTTAAAATTAAATAGTAGTGAATGCCTTCTAAAGTGAAATATGTTGGATCGATTTTTAAGCATATAAATAACATTAATTCCATTTGAATTCTTTCTTCAGCTACTAAAACATAAACGTGTTTCACCGATATTGGCTTTGGAAATCAGACGTAACTTGGCAATGTGATGATAAAATCACACTCGTGTGATTCACCTATAATTTCCAACCTAAATACTGTTTTGATTTTACGTGATAATCACAATAGATAAGCTCCTAAACATAATATTCAAAACTAGGGCGCCGATGGTGATTAAACAATTTTTTACTAGCCTAAAGGAATAAAGCTTTTAGTTAAAGATTTGACACACTACTAAGACCAACATTGGATTTAACTTATTTTTATTTTGAGTTTACTTAGTTTTCAGTTTGAATTCAACATCACATATTATTAAGGTATTACAATCAAGTCCATTATAATTTCAGTGCATGAAGAGGTCTGAGTCAAATTGTGGGGGGTAGAATTCCAGGGGGGTACAATTCCGGATCGTACACTATCTTCTGCGGACACGAGGGGGTACAATTCCAAGGGTGTAAAATTCCGGTTCTATAAGAAAGACTAGACTGACGGGGGTACAATTCCACCCCGTACACTGACCAAATAAGCGTGAGTTTTAACTGGGGGGTACAATTCCAGGGGGGTACAATTCCGGCCCGTACAGTATTTTAGATGCCAGTGGATTTAATCGAACCACTCGTGCATAACAATATTAAAGTTCTATGAGGGGGGTAAAATTCCACCCCGTACACGCCGTTTTGGTCGAGAAAATGAGACGTCATCGTGACGTCACTAACCAGCAGGGGTACAATTCCAGGGGGGTACAATTCCGCCACCCCATTTTCATGACCATTTCAAACACATTTCAAAGAAACTTAGTTGTGGTATTTTTATTTTGCGTCACCTCAAGAACAACGAAAATCTGGAGATATAAATGATTTATCCTGGAAGTCGTGCGCCAAAAATATGATAATGAAATAGAAATAAAATTCTTATATTTCCTGTATTTTATTTGTCATTGATAATTTTGTAACCTTGGTCTGACCTTTGACCACTCGTGCATTGCATATAGCTCTTGCAAAATGTTTGATGCTCTGCTCAGAAGTTGAGTTGATTAAGTTCATTTTGAGCTGTGAGAATCGCTTGAATGTTAACAGGGAGACGACGTAGCCAGAGTGCTCGAAGAATGTTGTCCTGTAGTTGGGCTGGACCAATCAGAGTACGTAGGTGGCGTAAGAACTGCGATGGCTTGCGATCTCCGATATCTTCATCACTGATCAACTGGCGAACGCATTCTTCTTCACTAGTAGACAGTCTTTCTATAAGCTTCGAACGAAGTACCGCGTAACGATTCGTTGCAGGCGGATTTGTGATGATGTCCTCTACTTCCACTGCGTAACGTGTTTCAAGCTGAGAAACGACGTAGTGGAACCGAGTGTCATCGCTTGTGATGCCTGAGATGGCGAACTGGGAATCTACCTGAGCAAACCATAGACTTGGTCGATCGGCCCAGAATGGTGGAAGCTTTACTGCAACTCGATTCACTGATACATTACCAGGGTCGTTGCGTTGCTGAACGTTGGGGGAAAGTTCATTTTGTTGCTCTCGTAGATTCGCCAATTGAGCTTCGATTTCTTCTAGCGACATTGGTAATATTGATGAAGGAATGTCGTGCTGCTTGTTGTCGTTGTTCTGGGTCACCAATATATAGCGATGTTTAGTCTATATGAAACAATATCACCACTATATGAACGAGTATCTTGATAAAAGTTTTATTTACAAATGAATGATGAAGTGTGTCAAATCATAACATAGTCAAAACTAAACATTTTAACAAAAGCCAGCAACAGTTGTTAAATAATAATTATTAAAATAAAGTATAGACTAAAGGCAACACAGATGTGGCTAAGTTGACGCCACAAGCTTGCTAAGTTTTCCAACTGATAGATTTGTAGACCTACAACATACTTTACTATCAAGACCCGGCTATCGCAGCGAAAGATAATGTTGCAGCGGCTTCGTTGTGGGTTGATAACCACGATAACGAATGAAAATAAGTTGTATTTTATAACAAACAAACGACAAACTTATTAAAGATTTAACCTATATTGTACAACATAGTGAGTGGGTAATGATTTAGGCTGCAAACAAGTTGAACAATTTTACTTTTAAGAAAACCTTGTTGATTGGTTGTGGACTTTTATTATATCTTCAACATTCTTTACTTTACCGAGTCCAATGGCATGATTGAGTAGTTTTATTGTTTTATTTATTTAAAACGCCGAATGTAAGTAGTATAAAGTGTTTATTTTTGTCCTAGAGATAAGCCCAAATCCATGATATGTACTGTAGATAAATTATTATGTTTTAATTGTTATTGACATTGTCAGAAAGGCGCAAACTACGGCGTGAAGGCTATACTACTCGTATGACGAGGAGCGGCAGAGTCTAGGAGGGCGGCGCGGTGCGGCGGCGGCGGCGGCGTCGGTGCAGCGTTTATTGCAACGTGACGTCACAGTGGGCCGTGCAACGAGATCACGTGACTGAAGGAGGAGGGTTTTGCGATTTTTAAAGTCTATCGGAGTGACAGTTTGATGTTTACGACCAGTCTCGCCGGGGGAAGTCGTAAACCGGAGTCGCAGTTGGCGAGTCCGCCACACGGCGCGCCACCACCGCCCCTCCACCGCTGCACAGTGCACTCACTCTGATGCGCTTAACGGTTCACTCAGTAGTGCAAGTGCAGTCGACGACTCGACAATTGTAATCAGTTATCAGTTATCAGCGTGCTGTGCGAGTGCGAGCCGATGGGAGGCAACAACAACTACACGGAACTGGACCTCTCGTCTCACGGGCATAGTCACCCCGGTGGACAGAACTCTCGTACAGCACCCAACTGCGCTCGCTGTAGGAACCATGAGATCATTGTGCAGCTCAAGGGCCACAAGCGCTACTGCAAGTACATGCACTGCAAGTGTGACAAATGCATACTCACCGCCGAGCGACAAAAGGTAAGCCTCAACCACAGCGTACACTAAGAACTAACATTAGGCCTACGTTTTATAAAGTAGTATAGTTGTCTATTAACAAGTTTGTCTGTACCGCGAATCAAAAGTTTTCAGATGAACTGTATTTTGAATGTTCGCGCGACGCGGAAGTTATTGCGCAGGCCCACGGTGACACGAACAGCCGAAACTTTGATTGTTGCTTTAACAATGAACATTCCGAACAAAAGTTAATAGTCGTATGCCACTATATTGTAAGAATAATAATACAAATTTACCATCATACTCGAGTTATTAACATATACAATTAAAAAATTATCGACTTTTTAGTATATGTGACTAAGATTTACTGTACAATACTGAATAAATGCCAATTCTTAATTTTGTTTGGTCAACAATTAATTTAAGTCTGACTGTGGTCTAATACAGCAATAGTGATGTAAAATATTTTTTTCGATATTTCTTAGATATGAAATGAATCACGAAACGAACTTATTCGTAATGTTATTGGTTTTGATGGTAAACATGTCGACAGGTAGGTCTATATTATTGCATTCCCAAATAACTACAAGAAACAATCCTTTATAAAATATAAAATAAGTTCAATTTTAAATTTTATTTTATCAGTGATTTTAAATCAAAAGTAATCTGTCATGTCATTTAGCTTCTGTGAACTTCCATAATGGGCAATGTCTATGTTATAAGTGTGTTCAAATTATTTACAATTATGATTTGGCATATTAGAAATGCATAAAGTTTTACTGAGTGTAAAGGTTTATTTTATTCGTCATTTAAATAAATGTGTGTATGTATGTATGTACTATATATTGTGGGCCCTATAACAATTGTTGTAGACAAGTTGGCGTCCTGTTTTAAATTATTTTTGAAGTGCCAAAAATGTAATAGTTAAATCAAAACAAAATTCTTATTTCCTGTATTTAAATTGTCATTTAAAAGTTTGGTCTGCCCTGTGACCGCTCGTCGTTTACTATTGTTGGGCCCGGCGAGTGGTGATATCAAGTGTTTTTTTACGTAGACTATTTAAAAATATATATTATAATTTGCCTACGGAGTAAGATACTTGGTAAACGTTTTAAAAACAACTAAATTGTCAATTTGATAAATATATGATAACAAAATAACTACCGTAAATAGTTATAAAAACATTGTGCAACGTTTATGATCAGTTTCTTGAACTAGTGTTTATTAATGTATTACATCGCAGTTGATTGTAGTCGTTCACGATTATATCCTGCACATACTTTCTATAACACTAGCCATCAACGATGTTTTAGCGTATAGAAGACAATCAATTACAGCCGGTCCGGTAGTTTATATGACCAGAGATCCAATAAAAAAGTATTGAACAGTATTTTGTCATGTCACTAGAAAAATATCGTGTTATGGACATTTTTAATAGTTTACGTTTTGAAACAACTATCTCAAAATGTCTTCGTAAAGGATAATTAATCAGCTCACATTGTTTTAGAAACAAATACGTTGCTACGACGAAAAGAAACTTCGTTAATAGGCATTTTAGTTTAACAAGAGTTTTATTTGTAACTCACACCAGCTGCATTTAGCTGATAATAATTCATATTATTAAACATTTCATATAAAAAATGCATCATCATTGTTGGTTTTTAAATTATTGGGAAGGAAATGTGGAGATTTTCTGTAGACATGATTAAACAAAGAATTGAATATGTTTGTTGTCATTAAAAAATACATAACAAAACATTTAAATTTCAAGATAAGGCTTGAAAAGACGAACTCTTTTATGACCTGAACACGGGACCGATTTACTTTCGTTTTGACGTCCCCAGAGGCCAATAAAACCAGCCGTTCATATTTATATCAATATTATGTCCTTTGGCACGATAACTAGATTAAAAATTGTCCGATTTAAAGGGCCTCAAAACATAGACTTTTCCAAATGGTAGACAATTTTATAAAGGTCAAATCCAATAATTTAGTATCTTGAAGAGTTTTGTTCAATTAATGGTTATAGAGAATATTAAAAAATTGTGAATTTAAAGTGTCCATGCTTGCGGCGAATAAGCAAAATTTGGTAGTTTGAATGTTGTATATGATGGATAACATATTGATCAAACTCGACAAATCTATTTATACTAAACAATCAAGATTTTACTTAAAAAAACCACACTTTATTACCTTCCCTGTAGCCAAACCTAAGTAGCTACTCGTTAGTCGTTAAACCCAGTTAAACCTAACGTTATTAAATTGTGAATAAATTTGAGATATGGGAAAATTTAAGTGACAATTTAATGATGATGGAAATAATCTAGTCTGCAGGTTTAATGAGGTGGGGGTATTTATTCATGCTACAAATATTTGAACAAAATTGCCTCTAATGTTTTCCCAAAAAGAGTAATATTGACATAATATTTCTTGTAATTTGTAATCAACATAATTAAATGATGTTGTCCTATTTAAATAACATTATATTTCATGTCTACTTAAGTTTGCTGCTACAAGGAAGAATAAAGTGTTTTTGTTATAGGCCTATGTTATTAGTATACTTTGAAATAAATAAAGTTGCCGAATTTGATAATAATAAACAAACCAACTCAGGAGCTTTTTTCCCATAAAAATAATAAGGTAAGCCTACTTCAAATGTACAGTTTTTTTTATCTTATCCGTAACCTTAAATACTACAACAATGCTCCAATATATGTGAGCGTCCATGAACACGATAGCTCTAGTAATTATTGTCTGATTTTGACTAATTTGGCTTGAACGTGTAGTGCGGGATAAATTGATGATTTCGCGAACCAGCGAGATCGCGGCCATGAGAACGGGAAGTTGTGGAGTTCTGAAAATAAAAAAAACAATTTTTTTACAACCATCGTGTAGAGCCTAAAAAATTCGAAAAAAACTGTACATTTAAAATGTCTATGTTATTCTTATAACAATTAAATTGTTGTAGGTTGAATTGAATTCACTTAATCTGCAGGTTTGCTGCAGCGGTATTTTACATTTGCTGTTTTTTACATCCTTTAGTGTATCTGTACTCTGTACTTTATCTGTATATCTGTATTTTAGTACTATTACAATGTTATTGTACATAACTATTTTTGTAACGTTTCCATTTTCATACAAATTCAAAAGTATAATCTAGGTTTGTACTCCTAGATTGTACATTGTTCTAAATTTGTACTTCGTGTCGTTCTTGGCTAGACAAGACAGTTCATGCTTCGAATTAGTTTTCATCGACATGATTTGGTGAGATAAAATGTTTGAAACCTCTTGTTACACATTTATAACATCCTAAAGGACTTATAGGACGTAGTGACGTTGAAAATGCAGTTTCACAGCTTTACTGTAAAATTTCCTTTATCCTGTACCATAATATTGAGGTAGGGGTTTAAATGAACTTTTATCTTAATCTGGACAAAGTAGTGACTATTTTTATAAAGCAACAAATTCCTTCAATTTATCCATCAAAACTATAATTTTTATAACCGTTATTTGAAAATTGTCAATGGCGGTATTTCTTCTGGGCTAAAAAAGCTATACCAGGGAAGCTTGTGTAGTGGACGATTTTACCGACAACGGATCGCAGCTTGATGTCACATAGTATATTTTAGAAGTATTTCAGTTTTGTTGTTCGAAGCCATTAAATCCATTTGTAATACCTATTTACCTTTTAAATATTACAATGTTCTAAGACAGTTATTTAGATACTAATTTATAAGGACAATCTGGCTGTGTTTAAAAAATCAACTGAAGCATCAGCTGTCAAATTACATTTCAAATTGAACTAGGTATTATAAAGAAAGTTGGTCAGCATCACTGGCTCTTGAACTCTAGAACTAATTAAGCGCAAGGAGGCGAAGCCCTAAATGAAATCACCATTTTCGTTACCATTTGTAACTCCGTTTGATCATAATCTTAAAATAAAATGACACGTTAATGGTACAAATCTGTTAAGTAGGGCGGCTGGAAAAGGGATGTAACAGGGAAAATCTTGATTGTATCAAGTATGGACACTATGTTTATTCTTGGATCTTAAAAAAATACGATGTATGAATTAATTCAAAGATTTTGTGGAAAAATCAATTTTAAAATACTACGCGTGATTCCCGGTATCAGTCAGTGTCTCGAATGCTCCAAACTAAAGAGGTTATAATTAACATAAAAGAGCGTTGTTACCAATGCAATATAGAGTATACGAAGTATTCATCTATATTTGACCTTCGTTATTGAAAGAAAGTAACTAAAATTGTGATTATGTTAGTAGTAAGCAATCCACTTTGTTGTCATTAGCCTACTGACCGATTCATTGACGTAGGTTGCCGACGCCGTCACACCAGGGACATTGTGTAGTCATCTCATTAGACAACTATAACTATTTAAAAACTGAAGACGAACAAATGTATGCAACCTATTATATTTTTCAAGATTTGCTAGTTTTTGCAAATGTCCCTTTTGTAGCAAATTTACCAACTGTTTACAACAATCTTTACAATTTCCACATTTTGACGTTGTGTTGCGTAGGTGATGGCGAAGCAGACAGCCATACGCAGGGCCCAGGAGCAAGACAGAGATAGGTTGAATAAGGGTCTACCAGTGCCTGGACGTGAAGTCACTCCTCCATCTACCACAGTCACAGTACACGACAATGAAGTCTGCTCGCCCGCCCCCGCCTCGACCACCGCGGCGACCATAGCCTCCGCCGCCGCAGTCAACTCCGCTCCCTCTACACCGCGACGGATCACCACTCCGCCACCCAGGCGACAACACAATGGTGAGTAGCATGTAGTAATAGTTTTGTGTTAAATTATTGAACCATTTAAATCTGGAAAGTGTGATCCTTGATTTTGACACCGTCTGTCTATTGGCATGTCAGTTTTCGACCATTCAGCTAAAATATTATCAGAGCATCGCAATAGTTACTCGTGAAGCGAGCGCAATGATTTTGAGCACGAAAATCCAGCTACCGTACGAAATTGAGCAAAGCACTGAAGTGGCAATAATGGGTTCCCTAATCCTTTGGTGATTTCGAGCAAATGGTCCTCCTAGAACTCTTTTGGATGATTAAACAGAGGGAGATGAGAAAAAACATTAAAATAAAACTAGCCTCTACTACATTTTTTTCCTGGCCTTGTGGCTTACACACTTGACAAGTCAACAAATTTATTCCTGAGTCTCTAAGTTGTTGCAGTTTATCATCAATAAACCTTTTGCGCACCAGGTGGTCCTTCGTTTGCTTAGTTTCTTATTTGCGCATTAATCGTATGTATGTTTCACATAGCACACTTATGAAGATAACAATGTTTGGTTGAAGTGACGTACAACCCATAGTCTAATGCGCTTGAAAACTTTCGCATCCTATGGGCTGGCCGAGAAATTTCCAAACTTGTCAATAGTGCAATTTTCTAACATTGTTAAGGAGACGTTTTGGTGAAAATTGAATCAGGCAAATGGAAATGCAGTGTGCAGGTTTGCTGCGTCGGGAGTATTTTATGTTATTACCCTTTCTGCAAAAATACATCTAAAAGATAATCCTCATAAAACTCACGATAACAGCCTAGGTTGATACGGAAACGGTTATAGAATCTAACTTATTTCATTAATAAATAATATATTTTATCAATGACTTATTCCATATCAAATATTATTCCAGTATTAAATTTGTTCAAATCAACTGTGTGGGATTGTTAATTTCCATTATATTTGTCTTTTGAATTTACGGTTGCTAGCAGAGTGACAAGGGGTTGCATATCTTAGCAATTAGAACAGATGCATTGTCCTCCCAGCCCTGTATGTTCCTTGCTCAAAATCACCACAGGATTAGAGATCCCATTACTGCCGCTTCAGTGATTGCTCGAAATCAGTGCACCGTGTGAAGCAATCGTCCTTTAGACAAAATAACATTATTTTAGCGTTTTGCTAGAATTGTAATTGGTATTTTTTCGGCGACCCTAATACACAATATACCACATACATTTAATACATTTAATACCACAGCAACTAAGCGAAACTCAATTTGTCTGTTTGAAACAGGTCATATTTACCCCCATTAGCATTAGAGTACTGTTAGCAGAATAAAATGTAACAAGCCATAACACCCTTTTGGAATTTAACTTCCTTGAGAAGACCATAGACCTACTACAGCCACAAGCCGCTCCGAGTCAAGCCAAAGCCCAAAAGAGTGACGAGCTAATCATAATTTACAGCAACGGGTCTATAAAGTCCTGGTCTGATTGGGGTGTGAAATAACTCTAAAACCAATAAAGAAGCTGATCAATACGCTTCTTGCAACTGCCTCATCTTAACGATGGGACCAACTGCATCATCTAGTCCCGCGACCGTCACACTCTTCAACTTTTGTAGATTGTCTCCTTCCTCCTCAAGTAGAGTATGTAAAACGTAAAAAATGTCAACACAATTTTTCAATTCTATTGTGAACCGGTTTCTATTGTTTATATTCAACTTCTGCTGGTATCCAAACATTAGTTTTCTATGTCATAAAACTGACAATGATAACAAGAAATAACAAAACTGTACATGTGAACATAATTTGCCGTGAAATGACTTAAATATAAAACATGTAAATCATTACCACTTACTAAAATAGAGCGTTCTTAAATCCTCTATTACCTTTGATCATCCGGTATATCTATTCTGCCGAAATTTACATAACAATTATGGGCAACCTATTTTTCACCACCTTGATGCATGCAGTGTATTTCAAACACATAATACGATAACGTTGTACCCGGACCCTAAAGTGGAAGAAACTCTGATTGCATAGATATAGTATAAGAATTAATTTATTTACTGTTTTTATTCGTCCGACTACGACATTCGTTATGTAGCTTGTAGTGAACGTTGGCGTTGCTTGTGAGATAACCAGCTGGTCTAGGCGTGATGCAGTAGCATATATCGTTCATGTAGAAGCCTAGTGATGGTCCGGCCACCGCCATGTTCATGTTGCCGTTGTTGGGATAGGTCCTGGACCTGTCGTGAAAGTGAGCAAGTCTGAAGGCCGAAGTTTGACCGCTCTCCGCCCTCCTTCTCTCCACTCCTCTACACCGGTACATGGACGTTGGACGAGTCTAGCCAGGCGCTTCATTTGCCAATTTGAATAAATTACGTGCGGCAATCACGTCCAGCTGGAAACCAAGTCTAATCATTAAGTTTAATTAATGCATCGGGGTGTAGATCGAACGGTATTTGACAGACGGACAGATTGACGTTGAGTGCAAAGGACAAAACCACTTTACTTAAACCTCGGTAATCCTTGGCTTTAACATATTGACGCATTTTTACATACTTTTTGCAAAAACGTGTTTCATTCGAGGTGATTTTCAAACACAATTATTTCCCCGTGAGCGGAATAATAATTTATTTTAAAATTATTATTGATGGTGGTTTTCGGTACGTCTAATTATTTATTTCTTTATTTAATCATCATAAGGCAGATAAAACGACAGGCTTTCCGTACGCGGAGGCTCGTCTTGAAAGTAACACAACTTGTGATATTTCGCGTCTAGTTGTTAATTTGTTGCATAAGTAAGCTGTACTTGAGTCGGGCACGTCATTACTAGAGATAAGATATTAATTATTGCACAGAATGCAAACTTATCAAGCAATTCATTATTACGATACCACATACACCTTATCGCTATCTCAGACATTAGAATAATACTGGCAGTTTTATTCCATTCTACAGTCTTTGTTCAAGAACTCGTTGAGAAAGATTAATATTTTTAAGTAATTCTGACAAATTAATGCCTAAATGCATTAATGTGTTCTCTATTTCGTATTACCAGCATTAGAAGGCCGTATCATGAAATATCCTTACATCAGATACAAATATAAAAAATAGATGCTGTCATTAATTTAAAAAATAAATTTTCAAATTATGCTACAGTTTGTGACGTCTAGCTGTTTTAAGATTTTAATAAATCTAGAGGACCCATGCTTCTCCGCAGCTTTAAAGTAAATATAATATCCGAGAAATAATCAAATTTATGATTTTTACATCTGCAAGTAAAAAATGGAGGAATTGGTTTAGTTGATCCTACCGCTCAGGGAAAAGCATTGTTCCGAGCTTCAAATAAATGCTGTAAATTCATCATAGACTCTCTAAAAACTAAGAGGAAAATAAGCATGCAAGAACATGAAGAACATTTGGTTATCTCAAAAAAGGACTTGAAAGAGGAGAGAAGATTAGAAGAAGAAAACATTTTGAAATCGACTATTCAAAATCTTCCTCTAAAACAACAAAAAATTATCTTGCGAGGAGCAAATACTAAAGCGAAACACAGTAGATGGCTGTCATGTATTCCATAAAAAAAAAACTCAATTTAGATCTTTCTCCACTGGAGTTCAGAGATGCTCTTGCACTAATATATGGGAAAACTCCAATACACCTCCCCTCTTCATGTGATGGCTGTGGCAAAAACTTCAGTATGGAACATGCCCTCAACTGTCGCACAGGTGGGATGATAATAAGAAGACATAATGAGGTAAGGGATACTCTTGGAAGCTTGATGGAGCATGGGAAAACTGTGTTCGAGAACCAATGATCTCTGAGCAAGGGTCATTGGATGCTGCAGCACTAAATGCAGACTTGGCTTGTAGGGGTGTATGGGAGGTTCAGACGGAAGCATTATTCGATGTACGTGTCGTTGACACTGATGCTCCATCGTACTTGAACATCCCATACGAAAAAGTTCTGGAGAATGCAGAAAGAGAGAAGAAGAAAAAATATTTGACAATAACAGAAACAAGAAATGCTTCTTCCACCCCAATAGTCACGTCTGTGGACGGAATGCTAGGCAAAGAATTTCAGACCTTGCTCAGAGCAATGGCAGAATGGCGCACATGAAAAGAGCCCAAAAACTCAGGCAGACGCTTGAAAAGCGCCCGGACCTCCAAGGTCCCACCCATGACGGTGCGAAAAGAGCCCTGGCTCTTTCTAGAACTTTCACAACGTCTCTTCAAAGGAGAAGAACCAATAACACAGTTGAAATACATGAAATTATTTACAATATTAAAAGATTCACTGTTAAAAGATACATTAATAAAAAATATATTATTCAAAGATATTTACATTAAGATATAGTCTGTTTACCTAACCTAACCTAACCTAACTTACCTAACCTAACTTAACCTAACCTAGCCTAACCCAACCAAACACAACACTATTTACTAAAACACTACTATATATACACACAATTTATAGTCAGCGTCCTCCTCCTCAGGTACCTGTGGAGACCCGGGCTCTTTCCATGCTTAAGATTAGTGAACCTTTTTTGGGATTAAAATTTCGGGCTCTTTTCATGTGCTCCGTGGCAGAACGCCTCACAGAAAAATGGAAGAAACCTTACAGTTTAGTGATGAACTGGATAAGGGTGAAAACCATCTGTGCGACGTTAAGGGCCAGCAGCATGTGTCTCAGGAGGACAAGAAAGAAGTGGAGGACCCTTAGAGAGTTCGAAGATGGGGCTGGAGTACCAGCTTTTTATTAATCTAAATAGAAAAAGTTTTATTTTTCCATGTCAAAAAATTTAAATAAAGATTGCTTGTTTGTCTTTTTTGATTGAGTAATACAGTATCTTGAACGTAGCTGATTCAAACGATCAACAGCACAACAGCTCAAATTATAGCCTACAAGTTACTGATTATTTAGAGTCTAAAACATATAAAAAACATGAAGAATACTGGAGCTATTGATTTTTAATCACAGAAAAAACCTTATGAAAAATAATTTGTATGTTGGTTGTTCACCTTGCG